TCTCTGAGTGGTGGGAAACATGGCCATCAATGGCTCCAGACTCGTATCTTAGCTGCTTCCACCATTAAATAAAATGGACCTCCTCAGGTTCCCTGTGGTCCCAAGTCCAAGATCCAGGTAGGATCAGGTGCTTATCCCTGGTAGACTGGCATGAGATACAGGGTTCCGTTGCTTTAACATGGTGACACAAAGGTTTAACCTTGTGCTGTGAGAAATAAGGCATCCTAGGCAGATTCACCCAAGTTTCTTCAATCATAATGAGTTAGGTCAATTTAAGTTTTTTGGGTCTGGTAACTTGGTGGATGGTGGTGACTTTGAAAAGGATAGGAAACACACGAAGGAAGAGTTTAGGGGTAAGGAGAAAGTTCCGTTTTTGAGTATGACATGCCAGCCTGTTGGCCACCCACGTGCAGATGTTCAGAAGTTGGTAAGAAACGTGCACAGAAGAGAGAGATGGGCTGGAGGTTAGAATGGGGGCCATCTGTGTTTAGGTAGTAGTGGAAATGAGACTGTTTGGGGAGAAGATCACCAGACATAACTCTGGAGGGAATCCTATACCGAAGAAAGGGAAAGGGGAGTGTGCGAGGTACAGGAGGCCATGAGAGTTAATATTTATCACATGCTAAACCCTACCATGAACTGCTGCTCTTAAAATTTGCATAACCATCCTATGATATGCCAATGATGGACACATTATTGTCACCTTCATTTTATAAGGAACGGAGGCTCATCAATAATCAGTACTTGGTTCAAGGTCTCAGTGAGCAGTAAATGCAAGGTTTGCATCTGTTATTATAGAACTCTCACCACTACAGTGTATTGTCTCTCACAGAGAGCTAGTAGAAAAATCCAGGGAGCTAAACAGAGGCATCTGGAGTCAGGAAAACTAAGAAAGGAGAATTTCTAGAATGAGGGGATGGTCAATAATATAAAGTGTCTATCAAGTTTATTTCTAAAATACAATTTAAGATGACCACTGGTTTGACAACTGGGAAGTCAGTGCCAATCAACTGCTAGACTGGGCAGGTCTAGCAGGCCTTCTTGGTTCTAGATAGATCCCTCGGTAGAAACCCAAGAAGAAAGATGGGCTTTGATCTTGTCCTAAAAGTTTCAGGGTAACCTACAAAGGGGTTAGTGTCCTGGAAATTTACAGGAAGGACATACAAGGTTTTAGCCAGAACAGAACCAGTTTGGGATGCACCACAATTAAAACAAGGCCCCTTATGGTAAATTGTATCATCTACAACCTGAGCTTACAGCGCTGTCTCATCCTACTGGAGGCATCAGCTTGAGTTTTAGTAAGCTTAATGCCAGGGCAAATTTATAGTCTCAGATCACTGGGCTGTTACCTTGAGTATAAACATCTAATATTCACAGGGTGCTTGGCAGGTTTCAAATTGTTTCCAAATACGTTGTCCTCACAGCCATCCGCTGAGGTTCTGTCTCCAATTTATGGGTGAGGAAACTGAGGCTGGGAATGGACAAATGTTTGTTTTGGGCATACCACTTGAAACTATCTGCTGTTGTAGTGTGAAATGTCATAGGCATAATACTGCATTTTTTTATTTTATTTTATTTTTAAAAAAATTTTTTTTTCAACGTTTATTTATTTTTGGGACAGAGAGAGACAGAGCATGAACGGGGGAGGGGCAGAGAGAGAGGGAGACACAGAATCAGAAACAGGCTCCAGGCTCTGAGCCATCAGCCCAGAGCCCGACGTGGGGCTCGAACTCACTGGACCGCGAGATCGTGACCTGGCTGAAGTCGGACGCTTAACCGACTGCGCCACCCAGGCGCCCCAATACTGCATTTTTAAGTGCGGGAAGGATTGCAGACCTCATAGCTTCTCTTTCTCAGTTGCTGCTCAACCCATAAGCCTGACAGGAAAGTGGCACAATCATTTCAGAAACTTTCACTGGGTGTTACACATTTTACAGGCAAAAACAATCATGCTTGCCCAGATCTACGCAGGCTCTCCTGTCACATAGCAATGGAAGAACTGGATTGTCTACACATGTCTGAGGAGGCAGAGGAACTGCACGTGACTGTGTTCTATAGGAACCTTGTAGTTTTTTCCCTCATAACAAAAATATACTTGCGAATTACAGTTCTGTTAAATACAAAGGGTACAGTGAAGGAAATAATCTCACCATCTAAAGACAACTACTGTTAAGAAAAAAATTAAGGGGGTAGCTCAGTGGGTTGAATTTCTGCTCAGGTCATGATCTCATAGTTGTGAGATCAAGCCCCGCATCGGAGTGTGGAGCCTGCTAGGGATTATTTCTCTCTGCCTCTTCCCCACTTGTGCCTGTGTGCGCGCTCTCTCTTTCTCAAAATAAGTAAACTTAAAAAAAAAAAAAAGAATTATATTTGAGACTAAAGTGGAAAAAATAATAATGATCAAATGTCTTGTTTCCAGTTTGGGTTTTTTGGTTTTTGGGTTTTTTTTGTTGTTGTTGTTGTTTTTTGTTTTTTGTTTTTTTTACAACGAACAATGTAACACTGAACATTTTTATTTGTTCACCTGGGGCACCTGGGTGAAAGTTTCTCAGAGAAATATTCCTGGGAGTTTAATGGCATTAGGGTATGCACCGGTTCTGCTCTTCTAAGTAAGGCCCTATTTTCCAAAGCCTATACTTCCAATTCTTGACAACATTTAGTTTGGTCAGACTTTTACATTTTTATCAGTCCGGTAGGGGTGAAAATGTATTTCCTTATGGGGCACCTGGGTGGCTCCGTTGGTTGTGTCCAACTCTTGATTTTGGCTCCAGTCATGATCTCACGGTATATGAGTTCAAGCCTTGCGTTGGGCTCTGGGCTGACAGCTGTGGAGCCTGCTTGGGATTCTGTGTGTCCCTCTCTCTCTGCCCCTCCCCCACGTGCTCACTTTCTGAAAATAAATAAAACATTACAAAATATTTCATTATAATTTGAACTTGTATTTCCCTAATTTCCAATGGAAGGAGGACTTTGTGTGTGTGTTTTGGCCAGCCCATCTTTTGTTTCTAGGAAATGCTGCGATCTCATTCTTGCTCTCCAGCTGGCTTTAAAATTAGACAAAAGAGGCACCTCCCTACAATTTGTGATATACACTCTCGTTTTCCAAGTGTCTTTCCTATCAGTCAGCTGAGCACCTGTCATGAACACTGGTGTTCTAGTTTTCTCTTTTCCGTTAGAATCCTCTAAACATTCAGTCCTAGCAAAGGTACAGAGGATGAAAAAGCAGGATGGACGCATTGGGGGATACAGGGAGATGAGAACAGAATTCCCCTGGTGGTTTGAGACAGACAGGAAACTGACTAGGATAGATGATAATGACAGCTGCCTCACTTCTAGGGCCCAGGACTTAAGCATGTTAATCATTTGTGAGCATTTCTGATCCTTAGGATAATTCTCTAAGGTGTATATTATCCCTGTTTCGTAGATAAGGAAAGTGAGGTTCAGAGGCAACAGAACACTTTGGGGTTCCCAGAGGAGAGCAGGTCAGCATGCAATAATTTATGAAGTCCTTTATTTGTTAATTGAGAGCTGAGTACCAATTTGGCAGAAGATTTTGTTGGGCATGATGTTTGCTATTGACCTCTGCCAATCGGTTATGTTGGGCACTGGGAAGGGATTGCCCGCAGTCATGGAGGGAAACTAATATAGTGAAAACTTGCTTGATGGTAGTCAGAGAGGCCTAAGTTCCACTCCCTACTGCCCCCCACCTGAATGGCTTTGGAGGCCTCACTCACTAAATACTAGAAAGGATAAAGGCAGGTCTCCCTCATGAAAACGCCTCAGCTCTGCCTTGAGAGGTGACTGACTCCATTTGTGCCTCAGTCTCACCATCTGTAAAATGGGAATAATGGGTGCCTATGTTTGTATATTAGTTTCCTGTAACAAGTAACCATGAACTTGGTGGGTTAAAACAACAAATTTATTCTCTCCCAGTTGGAAGCCAGAAGTCCAAAATCAGTTTCACTTGGCCAAAATCAAAGTGTCTGTAGACCCTCCAGGCCTGCTCCAGAGGTAAGGGAGAGTCCATCATTGTTTCTGGTGGCTGCTGGCATTCCTTGACTCGTGGCTGCATCATCACAATCTCTGCCCTCACGGTTATACTGCCGGCCCCTCTGCTGTTTCTGTCAAATGTCCTTGTGCCTCCGTCTTCAAATGATGCATGTGATTGCATTTAGGTCCCATTCTGATAATCCAGGATAATCTCTCCATCCCCAAATCCTTAATTTGCAAATACTTTCCAGATGAGGTGACATTTACAGGGGCCAAGAGTTAGGACCTGATATCTTTGGGGGCCTCTATTCAGCCTATTACATTTAGGGTTGTCATAAAGAGGAAATCCGCTACTGATGGCAGAGGACTGAGCACAGTATCCGCCAGCAGACAGCACTGCCTAACCATCAGTTTGTCTCCTTTTCTAAAAATGTCTCTAAGACCCTGTGTCTTAAAGGGCTGCTGCAAGGCTCAAACCTAGAGTACAAGGGAGACTGTACGTAAGCGCGAAGACTGAAGCCCAAACTGCGGCCGGACGGTTTCTCCAGATCCCACAGCTCAGATTTGCACATTTTTCTCCGTAGGCTGTCAGAGACCCCTCCCGCTCATCCTCTCACCTCCCCCGGGAGAGGATGCTCCACCTCCAGGCCCCGCCCCCGACGTGCCTCCCCCTTGTGCCCCTCCCACTAGTTTGGCGTCCGCCGCCCATAGTGGGTTGGAGGCGTGAGGGCCTTTGCAATCTGCCTATTCTACTGCCTATCAAATCGTAGCACGTTGTCGCCAATGTTGTCTCCTTTCTCAGCCTGCACGTTATTCATACCACGCATATGGATTTAAGGAGTTTAACTGTCGCAATTTACGTGCCTCCAGATGAAAAACGAGGCAGAAGCTGTTGGGAGCCGACTGGCAATATTGAAGGGAGCCCGTACAAGAGGGAGCCGGGTCCTACGTGCCTCGCGCGCTGAGCCCCGGCCGGTTCACCGCGCAGGCGCAGTAGATCCCGACTCGCCATGCCGACTGTCAGCGTGAAGCGGGATTTGCTCTTCCGAGCCCTGGGGTCGGACCTACAGTAAGTGCCGGCGCCGTGGCCTGGCTTTGTGCCTCTGCTCCGAGGCTGGGACCCCCCCCCCCCTTCAAAAGGGCTTCGTGGGAACGTTCACGCTGTCCGGCAGGTTTTGGCCTCGGGTGGTCCGGGTAGAGACGGGGATGTCTGGCGGTCGAAGCGGCCGGGCTGGGCTGAAATAGCCTCTCCCAGCCTGCCTTGCCAGGGCTGGTGTTGCATCATTCGCACGTGCCAAGCTGGCCATGTCATTCGTTCAGCAGTCTCACATGGAGCATCTGTTGCGTGCTTCGTGTCAGGGGATAGAATAGGAATGAAGCTCTGGGTTGCATCCCGAGTGCAGCTAGTTGAGCGCGACAAGAAGAGCTCTGTAGGAACTCCATTTATGAGGGATTAGGGGGTAGAAGCTTGAACAGGAAGTGGTGGCATTCTATCTTACTTTATTGATGTTTCCTGAGCACCTGTTAGGTGCCAGGCGCTGTTCCTGGCGCTTTGGGAATACAGCGGTGCGCATGACACGTAAGGCCTCCGTTCACGTTTTGATGACGGAGGCAGACAATAATTAACCAGCACACTAATGAACTGATTCTGGATTATGTTAAAGGCTATCGGGGAAACAAAAATACTGTGCTAAGAACAACGTTAGATAGGATAGTAACACCTGAGACCTGAATGACGACGAGGAGTCTTTACCGGGCGGGCTCAGTCTTCATGCTACACTTGGTGTCTTTTTTAGTTCTGAAAACATCCCCATTTAGAAAAGGGAGGAAACAGTGCAAATTATCAGCGGCCATATGGTTGTAGCGGTTGAAATGATAGCTGTCTCTCCCCAACATTATCAGCTTATATAAGGGCTGTGGCAACTGATTTGTGAGAACTATTTTCGGATTTTAAGGTTCAGTATAACAGAGACCTAGTCGGTGTAACAGGTACTGCTGCCTAGAATGTTACCACGAAGATAGCTTTTAAAATGTTTCTAAAGTCACAATTTTAGATACCACATATTCTTCAAGTATTATTCTTTGTCGGGTTCTGCCGTAAGTCCCTGAAAATAGGGGTAATACTTTTTGACTTCTGAATTCAGCTCTAATTCCCTACACTGTTTTATTTTACAATGTGCTTATTTATATTTCTTAACCCGTTCTTCTAAACCATGTTCTTACTAATGGTATATGCCTGAATTATACACGGTGGTATGGGGCAAATATTTGTTTAAGACATCTGTGATCAGTTACCACCCAAGTATCCATTTCTGAGAAAGTAAAAAATGACCTAGGTTTTTAAAATGGTGAGATTTGTAATCTATTTACCTCTATCTGATTTCATAGATTCTCTAGCGACCCCTCCCATGTTTTTCTTATTGAAAGTGATCAGGCAAGCTTGATTTCAACTCCCCCCATAAGTATCCATCAGCTAATGACTCAAATTTCAGTCAGAGGGGTGCCCGGGTGGCTCAGTTGAGTGTCCAACTCTTGATTTTGGCTCAGTTTATGAGCTCGCAGGCCATGAGTTCGAGCCTTGCATCAGGGCTCCATGCTGACAGCGGAGAGCCTGCTTGGGATTCTCTCTCTACCCCCGTCTCCTGTCCCTCCCCTGTGCATGCATGTGCTCTCGCACACTCTCTCTCTCTGAAAATAAGTTAAAAATAAATGAACTTAAAATTTCAGTCATGAAGGTTGATGTTACTGAGGTGTACTTAAGGCAGGTTAGAAATACCAGTTTATATTTCCTGTATTTTTTCTTGAAACTTAATTGGGTTGAGGTCAAAGTTGGAAAAGCATGTTTAGCAAAGCATCTAGTTTGCAAGTTAGAATGGGTCCATCTTGTTTCTTACCCTCTTTTTTTTTATTAGTCTTCCTCACTTTTTATTCTCAGATATTCAGTCTTTTGTATGCACATTCTATTTTTTTTCAGTCCTTCCGAGTTTTGCTTTTTGTCCTAAATTCCATTGTTTCTCCCTGTCACTGCCTTCACCATCTCTTTGCTTACCAAGGAGATTTCTCAAGCTGCTTTTGTTCTGGTCCTTTTCCTTCTCTGGGGCCGTTTTATCTCCTTAGTCTACCTTTTTTAATCACTTTTCTGCTCAGGTGTGTTCCTTTTGCCACAGTTAACATTTTCTTGTTAACTGATTTATTATCACCGTTTGGTTCTGCTCCTGCTCTGCCTTGGTGTGACTGCTGACGGGACTGTCAGAGCCACCTGTATATGTCCTACAAACCTCTAAGAGGTAGTCACTTAGATGTGTCGTTTTGTTAGAATTATGAATCACAATTTTGTTCTTGTTTCGAAGCACGTGAAATACAGCGGATAGGAATAAAACAAATTGTATAATGAGGCATTGAAAGATGCAGTGTTTTAACGGTTCTAAACTAAATGGTTACTGATCAAATTGTTTTCTATTGCTGCATAATAAATTACCCCCCACATTAGCAGCTTAAGATGGTCATGTGTTTTATGGTTTCTGAGGGTCCAGGAGTGAGGAGTGGCTCAGTTGGGTGGTTCTGGCTCTGGATGTCTCATTATGTTGTCCTAAGGGTGCCAGGTCTGTAGTCCTTTCTCCAGGCCTAACTGGGGTTGGAGAATCTAATTCCAAGTTCACTCAAGTGGTTGTTGGCAGGCCTCTGTTCTTTGCACATGTTTGGCCAGAGACTTCAGTGCCTCTCGCTAGGACTGCTTGCAATCTGGTGGCTTGTTTGTCCCAGAGCGAGAGGTCCCAAGAGAGCAGGTAATTGAGTGTTCAGAGTGATAGAAGCACATGTCAGAAGTGACATGCCATCCCTTCTCATATTCTTTAGGTCACACAGACCATTTCACAGTGTGGAAGGTGACTACACAAGGGTATGAATACCAGGAGGCGGGTAGTTTTGGAGGCTGACTGCCAGTCTGCCGTCTGCCCCCTCCCCCCACAGTGATTCATGCTCCTCTCCCATATAAAACGTACTCACCCCTTCCCAAGGATTCCAGAAGTGTTATCCCATTACAGCAGCATCTCAAAATCCAGAATCTCCTCTAAATCACGGCCTGGTGTGGATGAGGCTCTTCAGGTGTAGTTTCTTAAGTACAGCTGCTTGAATATAGTTTCTCTTGGTCTCAGAGACTAAAGAGATGATCTGCCCAACCGACAACTAACATCCAGCGGGGAGACAGGCATAGGAGGACCGCTATACACATTCCTCGTCAAAGGGGAACATGGGAGACACATTCTGAAATTGAACTGGCACGTGTTCAACTCTCTTGATGAGGTCTCAAGGCCTAGGATCCTTCTCCATGGCTTTCAGCCCTACCCTCTGGGCTCTTGGCTGCGCTCTCTGTGAGTGATCCTTATTTTTATGGGGGAAAGAAAGCACGTGTCTTACATCCGATTAGTTCTCTCTACTACTTGCCAATAGCCTTTTGGCAGTTCAGAGACTTCATTTTGTCCTCTCTCTGTCCCTTTTAGCTCAAGCTTGTAATGTTTCTGCCTATATATTTCTTTTAAAAACTTTGTGGGTCTTCAGTGAGTTTTGCTAGTTTCCATTTCATTAGTGAGAAGCCATCACACTCACAAATTTCTGAAATAAGGTGTTTTGTACCTTGGATTTGTACTGATACAGGGCCCTTGATTAAGCTCAGTTGTGTGACCGAACTTGTGAGGCACACCCTTAATTGATAGTGCCTTTTCTCTGAATGAATAGTACCTTTGATCTTTTTGAGTCTTAAGAGTTTACAGTCATATCCTTGATTTCATCTTTGGACCATGCTTTCCTGGCAATGCTCTGGATTTACTGTTTGCTCAGAAGTCATTTCTTTATTTTAGTACCATTTTACACCTTAGGAGACTGTGAATTTTTAAAACTGTCAAGTCCTGGCTCCTTTTTAATGGCCTTTACTTTGTCTCTTCTCTCATAAACAGCAAGAAAAAAAAACCAAATGACACCTACAGCACTGTTTGGGAATCTTAGTTACATCACCTAGTTGAGTAGGTACATTTTCTACAGTCTGCATAACCGGGTAATAGCATTGCTAAACTTTTGCCTTTACATAAAAAGGATTCCCCTTTGCCAGTTTCTAGTAACACTGCCTCAAGTTCCTCCATATGCTCACCTGTATCCTATTAAAGACTATGAGGCTTCTTGTTACAGGCACTTGAGGTTTTGATTTACACTTTCCTCAAAGCCTACCTCCTGGTTCCAAAACCATATTCCCACGTTTTCCCCGTTTTGTTTTGGCATCACTCCACTTCCAGGGACTGAAGTCTGTATTCTCTATTGCTGCATAACGAATTACCTCAGTATGCAGTACTGTAAAACAAGTGGTGGTTATTTCCCAGTTGTGTGTGTGTGTGTTTAATTTTAGTTAACATGCAGTGCAATAGTGATTCATCACTTAACATACAACACCCAGTGCTCATCACAAGTGTCTTCCTTAGTACCCATCACCGGTCTAGCCCATCTCCCTATTTCACAGTTTTTTGAGAGAGGGATGGAGGAGTGGCTTAGCTGGGGGGTTCTAGCTCTGGGTCTCTGACCAGGTTGCCGGCAAGATGTCAGCTGGGCCTGCAGTCGTCTCCATCCAGGCTTGGCTGCCTGAAGAGTATGCTCCAGGGATCACTCATGTGATTGCTTCAGACCTCAGTCTACACAAGGGCGTGAATACCAGGAGGTAGAGATCACTGGGGACATCTGTTGTTCTTCGCCCCAGTTAACGGTATCCACACGGGAGACCTGGGGATCCTAGACTCTTCCTGCTCTCCCCTCCCGCCTCCCATCTGGTCACTGAGCCGTGCAGATCCTGCTTCTTTGACCTTTCCCACATTCTTCCTTCCTCATACCCACTGCCACTCCTTTAGTCAGGCCTTCACTGTGCCTCACTTGTACTGTTAGGGAAACCTCCCTGCTCCAATCCATCCACCACCTTGCTGCCATCCTTTAAAGTGCAGATCTGATCCTGCTTTTGCCCAGCGCAAAATCCTTCCGTGTAACCCCCACCGCCTACAGGCAGGACAGAGCAAGTCCCTTGGCATGTTGTGAGTTCTTTTACTTGTTGCGTCCAGTTTCTTCCTGACCGGAACCTTAGGCTTCCTCCATATTGAACTTTTCCAAATTTGCCATGCTCTTGTCCCACTCCTCACGGTCTCTGCCTAATGAACTCATCCTTTCTGTGAAGCCTTAGCTGACTTTAAGTGGATAAGGACCTTTTTCGTGCCACCTCCGTACCTTGCACTTAACTATATTTACGCATCTGATTTCTTTATAGAGGAGTCAGTAGTAGGAATTGTTTTATTTTTGTAGCCTTGGCACCTGGTATAGCCACCTGCCATGTAGTAGGTTCTTGTAAATGTTGAACTGAAGTTCATTGTCAAGATCAGAATCTTCAGACCAGCTTTTCACTAGAATATACTGGTAATGACGGTTTGTGTTCAATTTTTGATAACAAGAAAGTCCCTCAAAATGCTGTATGAGGTAGTAGAGTGAAGTAGAATGTAACTAAGGAAGAAAACCGTTAATTGTTGCAGACCTAGTACGTTTTAGGGTGCTGTGGCAGGTCTGTTACCTGCATAATAACGTTGAAAATTTTCCCAGAGTTCCTGCTATAAATATAAGTCAGGAAGTGCCAGTTCTTAGAACCAGGAAGTGGAGTCGTCAAACTCTGGCCCGGCTAGCCGGGCCGCAAGGCCTCAGGATTTTAAAGGATAGGACTTACGTGACATTATCCCATTGTGTTGGATCTGTGTTTCGGAGCCCACTTTACATTTGATCCCTACCCAAACTTCCCAGTGCAGGTAACCTAATTCTCTAGTTGATATTAAATGAATCAGCCCTTAAATAGTCATTTGTTTTTAATATTTTTTTTTTGTCACTTTTGGTTTTTTTTTTTAATTTTTTTTTTCAACGTTTATTTATTTTTTTGGGGACAGAGAGAGACAGAGCATGAACAGGGGAGGGGCAGAGAGGGAGACACAGAATCGGAAACAGGCTCCAGGCTCTGAGCCATCAGCCCAGAGCCTGACGCGGGGCTTGAACTCACAGACCGCGAGATTGTGACCTGGCTGAAGTCGGACGCTTAACTGACTGCGTCACCCAGGCGCCCCTCACTTTTGGTTTTAAAATGGTGCTGATGCCTGATATTTCATGTGCTTGGTGTAAGGCAGTTTTAAAAGAAAATGCAGTTTATATACTACTCCCATTTAAGCTGAACAAATTAAAATTAGCAATCTCCTTTTTTTTCCAGCTGACGAAGAATTTGATGAACTGTGTTTTGAATTTGGTCTGGAACTTGATGAAATTGTATGTATTGAATATTTTTTCAATAGTTTGTGTATAAGCGCATTTTGCAGAGGCCTACTGTATTTTGTTACCTTACGGTTAGACTGACATGGAATATTTGTGGGCTATGGTGATTGCTGTGTTCTTGGTGTTAAGGGGCTAAGCTTCAGTTCTAAGAGAGTCTGTTGCTTTCTTTAAAATCTCAGAGAGGGTTTCCATGTTACGTTGTCACCTAAAGTTATCGGGCTAATGCTGGGGAGACGGATAGACCATCTCGAGTAACCCCAGAATGAGGGTGTGCTCCTTTGCAGTGTGGTGCCTTTTTATAAATTATGGAAAGAGGCCTGGGGAGCGATGGAAACGTTACTTTAGCCAGAGTTTATGTCTCACTGGCCTGTGGTTCCCCCTACTTCTCTTCCTCTGCCCTAACCGTACCTTCCTCTCTTCCTGTGTAACCAATATTAATTCATTCCTCACTCGTTACTGTATACATTGGCCTTGTAAAATGATCTTCTGTTTTTTGAAGGGCTGCCTGTAAAAATCATTATGAAGCATATCCCTAGTCTTTCAATTATTAAATAATTATTAAATTAGTATAATAAAATATTAATAAAAACATCAAATATTACTATAATATTAAAATATTGAAAATTAGATAACATATTTGCAAAATATATTACTCATGATCATGTAATAGACATTGTATTTATAACTAAAATGACTTAATATTTCTCTTGTAGTTAGTGTTATTTTTTCTTACACCTTTTATCTTCTTGATCTCTGCAGTGTTACAACACTGTGAGGCTAAATCTTTAGGCTGACATAATGTAAATTGATTTGCCTTGTTTTTTCTGCTGCTTTAACTGATGTTACAGGAAACCTTTGTTTTGTTAGTGAGCATCTCTTTGCTTGAAGTTGACTGAGATTTTTCTGTTAAATTGCTGTGATAATTACACTTGGCTTATGTTTCAGGCTGTGTGATATCTAAGCATTGGACTGGATATCAGAGAATCTGAGTAATAGGTTAAGCTCCCACATTCACTAGCTGGGTAACCACTGACAATTAAATTACATCGCGTCTCTGGGCCTTCTTCTCATGTGTGAAATAAGGGCTGGACTATACGATTGATGTAGACCCCTTCCAGCTCTGAAATTTCTGTGGTCTTTGATTTCAGTAAGATTTTTATTAGCCCTCACAGACCCAGTCTTCACATACAGTCCTAGCATGATCTGAGATCCTGAAATGAAAGATTTAAGCTGGTGTCTTTTTTGCAAAGGGGGTAGGCCTTTTTTCTGTAATTCAGAGGTCTTCATTTCTCTGCTTCCCACATTTTCTCCCCTTTTTCATAAGGGTCCTTTCTGAAATGCCACATCTCCTATGATGGGGGAGATAAGAACGCAACATGAAAGGAGGCAGAGGGAGGAGGAAGAATTAGAATTTAAACAGAGCTCGATCAAAGGGGGTCAATGAAATTGCTGTTTATTTTTTAAATTGAAGTATAATTATCATGCAGTATCTTATTTCAGGTGTACACCATAGTAATTCTTATCTTTCTTGACAGTGGTTTATCTTTAAGAATATCTGTTACTGGGGCACCTGGGTGGCTCAGTCGGTTAATCGTCTGACTTGATTTCAGCTCAGGTCATGATCTCACGGTTCGTGAGTTCAAGCCCCACATCAGGCTCCATGCTATCTATCCGTGAGGAGCCTGCTTAGGATTCTCTCTCTCTCTCTCTCTCTCTCTCTCTCTCTCTCTCTGTCTCTCTCTTTCTCCATCTCTCTCTCTCTCTGCCCCTCTCCCACTTGCTCTCTCAAAATAAATAAACTTAAAAAAAATTTAAATCTGTTATTATCTGCTGTAATGTGGCATTTGAGATATTCTAAGCTTTTGGCCACTGTATTAATTTTAGTATTTAGTACCACTGTATTATTTTAGTGGTATTTCTTCTCTCTTCTCTCTCTTGGTTGCCTTATTCTTGCTGCTCCATACCTTTTCTGTCATTAGATTGCTTCCCGTTGTGTCTGTAATCTCTTCTCATTTGTACCACAGCTTCTCATCGCTTCATACTTTTTTGTTTTTGTTTTATTTTTTATTTTTTTGAAAATATTTTTATTTATTTTTGAGACAGAAAGAGACAGAGCGTGAGCAGGGGAGGGGCAGAGAGAGAGGGAGACACAGATTCTGAAGGAGGCTCCAGGCTCTGAGCTGCCAGCACAGAGCCCAACGCGGAGCTTGAACTCACAAACTGTGAGATCATGACCTGAGCCGAAGGTCGGATGCTCAACCGACTGAGCCACCCAGGTGCCCCTGTTTGTTTGTTTGGTTTTTTTTTAATATTACTCTCATTCACATGGGTGCCTACTGGATTTAGCTTTGAGAGTCATTATAAGCCCTATTTCTTTTACTTGGTGAATCATCTTGACTTTGCCTCTTTGGCACTTTTCGTTGTTGTTGCCCTCCGTACTTGGTGATGGTGTATTTTCTTTTAAATCCAGGGTGGGCAAACTTTTTTTGTAAAGGGCCAGATAGTAGCCTTGTAGGTGGTGTAGTCTCTGTCACAACTCAGCTGTTGCAGTATGTAAGTCACAATAGGTGAGATGTAAACAGATGGTCCTGGTGATGTTCCATTAAAACTTTATTTACAAAAACAGGTGGCAGGCATGATAATGGCCAGTGGGCCATAGTTTGCTGACCCTTGCTTCAGATGAATTAGTGCTGTTCTGAATGACTGAGGATGCTAGATGTCAGAACTCAGCAAAAATTGGAGTATTTTCTGGTGCTGTGATTATAACACTTAATACTTTTATTTTTGTTGCAAATATAATAAACACATTTTACTGCCGAAAAGAACATGTATAATGTCGTTACTACTTTATAGCACTGATTACTGCTTTTTCAGAAGAGTTAACATTTATTTCACTTTATTTTTTGGGGCTTGTTTTAGACTTCTGAGAAAGAAATCATAAGTAAGGAACAAGGTAATGAAAAGGCGGAGGGAGCCTCTGATGTTGTTCTTTACAAAATTGATGTCCCTGCCAATAGATATGATCTTCTTTGTTTGGAAGGATTGGTTCGAGGACTTCAAGTCTTCAAAGAAAGGTAAGAAAATGTTTAGTAAATACTTTGCTAAGTTAGGTTTCGTTTGCCTGTCATTATCAGCAACCCTGTTTAAGTCTTCAGAAAAAGAGTTGTGGGACAGGTACACAGCATTGGGGCTGCATAGAGAGAGGCTTGGAGAGGAAGATTCATGCAGATTATAGCCATCTGAAAATTTGCATATTGAGTCCTAGCCTTTTATTTTGGGAACATATTTAAAACTGGAGTGGTTAATGATTTTATGGTTTCTTAAAATTTTTAGTGGGTTCATGTGAATTTCCTCAGTAATTCAGTTGAAGTAGACGTTGGGAGGAAAGTAGAGGTGTCAAACCTTGATACGCTGTTTGCTTAAGAACTCTAAGAAGACTCAGGAGGGGAGCTTCCTAACTGGAAAACTGAAAGTCTTGTGATGGCTGTCTGACTGTGGGCAAGTTAATTGGCCTCTCTGATTTTAGTCTCCTAGTTTAGGATGGATATTTTTAAGTCCCCTTCCAACTACTCATGTAATGAATACAGAAAGTAATGAATATACAAAGTGAAAAAGAGGTGAAACAGTAACAGCTGTCAAAAATAATTATTTTTGGTTTTGATTATGTATGTATTATTTGGTTAGCTGCAAAAGAATAAGAGCCTCTGGCCGGTGGGCTAGATTCTACAACTGTGAGGTTTCAGATGACTGATGGGTGTGGGTGAAAGGGTGATGATGAGGCATTTGGTTTAGATGGTTAAAATTTGGAGGGTGACTCCATTCATTCTCTGCATGACAGATCCTCTTATTTTAGGATCAGGGATGATCCCTTAGAGTGCATTTTCCAAATCTGCTTGATTAGAATTTTCTACTCTTAGCAGGCACCTCATGTGATACTTACGATCAGACAAAATTAGGAGAGTGACTTGCTGCTCAGAGTGTGGTCTGTGGACCAGCGTACTCTCTCTCACCTGAGAGTTGTCAGAACTGCAGAGTCTCAGCCTGTCCTCAAGACCTGTTGAATCACTCTGTGGTTTAACAAATTCCCCGCTTGACTATAAGTGCGTTAAGGTTTGAGAAGTACTGATTAAAACAGTAGTCCCCAATCTCTTATAAGAATTACCTGGACTGTGCCTTCAAAATATACCATTTACCAGGCCTTTCCTTGAATATCCTGATTCAGTACATCCAGATGGAACCAGGCAATCTGTATTTTTTTTAAAGTTTGTTTATTTTGGCAGAGCTATAGTGTGTGCAAGTGAGCACAAGCGGGGAAGGGGCAGAGAGAGAGAGAGAGAACGAACTCCAAGCAGGCTCCCTGCTGTCAGTGTGGAGCCTGATACGGGGCTTGAACTCATGAACCATGAGATCATGACCTGAGCTGAAACCCAGAGTTGGATGCTCAACCGACAGAGCCACCTAGGCTCCCCAGGCAATTTTTTTTTTAAACATTTTGTTTTCAATGTTTGTTTATTTTTGAGAGAGAGAATGTGTGGAGGAGGGTCAGAGAGGAAAACAGAGGATCCGAAGTGGGAGAGGTGCTGACAGCAGACAGCCTGATGCGGGGCTCAGACTCACGGACTGTGAGATCACGACCTGAGCCCAGGTCAGACGGTTAACTGACTGAGCCACCCAGGGGCCCCAGCAATCTGTATTTTTAATAAACCCTATTTTTCCTAGAGGTTTCAGAATCTCGTGGTTGGAATAAAGCTTAAAGGTTATTGAATCTAGTCCTTCAGCTGATGTAAATGCCTCCCTTCCCTCCCCCCGCATGGTTGCTTAGTGTTTTCTAGCCTCTGCTGATCCTGCATTAGTAGGGCTCCCCTATATCTAGGGCATCCTATACCATTTTTGGACCACTTTAAATGTTAGAAAGTTTGCTTTTTGTTTTGATATTCAGCCTAAATTTGATTTTCTTTAACTTCAGCCAGTTTTCCTAGATCTATTCATTTTATATACTTTTACACAGACTACAGCTGATGAAATGGTTTGGTGAAAAATGGGCAAGTTTGTTTTAATTGCCTTTTAGGATAAAGGCTCCAGTGTATAAACGGGTAACACCTAATGGAGAAATCCAGAAATTGATCATCACAGAGGAGGTAATAAAGATAAATTCTTATTTTCCTTCTTAAAAAATTTCCTTGGTGTGTATATTTATAAGGTGGGGAGGAAAATGAAACAAAGCTGACCCTCTGCCAAATATAATTTTCTTTGATCATTTGCTAAAAATGGACGTATATTTAGCCTCTAGCTCTTAAAAACTGTCAGTTTGTTCCCTTTCATTTCTCAGTAACAGCAAAGCATCAGTTTTCCTGAATAATTTTGGAAAATAACACCCATGTGTTTATTTAAAGTACTTTGAGATATAATTAAGTTGTGATACATTAATAAAATTTACAGAAACTTTGAGGGGACATCACCTTGGTAAAAACATCAACTATGAGAAAACTACTTAAAAACACTAATTTTTTCTCAGTTATTTAGTAAATTTTCAGAAATTTTGCTGACATGTAAATTCCATGAGAATGATGACTTTGTCTCTTGTCACCACTCTATCTTGGATTGAATGAATATATGAATATACATGTTATATGTGTTTGCGAATTTGTGATAGTATCGAGAGTGCAGCTAACTTTGTTTTACAAGACGTTATTACAAAGAAAGGCCCTAGTCTGGACTCTATCTAACGGCCTGATGCACTGCAGACAGCAAGAATACGCCCTTATGCTGTGGCTGCGGTTCTCCGGAATATCAAGTTCACTAAAGATCGATACGACAGCTTCATTGAACTTCAGGAGAAACTACATCAGAACATTTGCAGGTTTGTCGTTGCATCTTCTGTCCTCCTTACCTTCCTCTGTCCCTTTCCCCCTCTTTTTCCTTTTTACCCTTTCCTCTCTCTCTCTCTCTCTCTCTACCCCCCCTTCCCTCCCTCCTTCCTTTCTTCTTCTGCAGATTTTTTCAAAGCGTTTCTAAATTAATCTGTGAGTAACAAGTTTAAATTTGCTTAGCTAAATTGCAATCAGTTTAAATTTTACCAGACAGCTATTTGTTACTGCTTATAAACAGTGCATAGATGGAGAAACAAGAGCTCTGTTGGGAAAACTATATGGAGAAGAAATATCTAGTCCTAGAGATTTCCTTGGTTTTTATGTTTGTGTTATTGTCGTTTGGTTCAAATTCTTAGTAGTGCATTATACTACTAAATGTTAAATGGTGGTAATTTGAAGTATGACCTGTCATTTTAAAATGGAAAAATTTTGGCTTGATGTCTCTTCTTGAGTATAATTATAAATTTGACAGATGAAACTTGAGACTTCTAAGTAACTGAATTTTCTTACTTATTGGACATTACTATTCATCATTTCCCATATGCTCCTTTAGCGCAGTGATCTTCAAACCTGTATAATTCCTGAACTCCTAAAGGTCAAGGAGGGTAACAGTGGGAGTCTTTGAACTAACTTCAGCATTTAAAAAATCCTAATGGAGGGGCGCCTGGGTGGCGCAGTCGGTTAAGCGTCCGACTTCAGCCAGGTCACGATCTCGCGGTCCGTGAGTTCGAGCCCCACGTCGGGCTCTGGGCTGATGGCTCAGAGCCTGGAGCCTGTTTCCGATTCTGTGTCTCCCTCTCTCTCTGCCCCTCGCCCGTTCATGCTCTGTCTCTCTCTGTCCCAAAAATAAATAAACGTTGAAAAAAAAAAAATCCTAATGGAAGTAAATGATATATTTACGGATAAAATCAAGCTTTAGCTAACATAGCAAGGTTTTTTTGTATTGGTTCTGAAATATATCAGCATATCTCATGCTGATCAAAAGGTATGATTAACAGTTACAGGTGTCTTGAATAAAAATAGAAAAATTTATTAATTGCGGTAATCGCAGTTTGGTAAACTGGAGACTAGAAGAGGCTTTTGTGTAAGTGATGGGAAGGGGTGGAGGGGACCCTGGATGTTTTCTCCTGGGATGAAGTGTTTTAAAAATAAAACATCAGTAGGTCTCTATTTCCAGAAACATCTTTGTTTATGTGGTAAAAGAAACTTTTTCAGTTTCTCAATATTCCCAGTTCTGCTGTAAAAATAGTCTGTGTTAGCTTGTTAATGTCATTATTAAGCAAAACAGTAAGAATTTAAATATCTCAAATGAACAAAACAAAAGATTTCTGATCAGCATAGGTATAGCTAGTAAGTGGTTGAGCCCGATTATATGTTCTGGACATACTTTATTTGAAGAATCTATTTTTAACTAAATTGGAAGGCATTTCCTCACTTAATTCAGCTTTAACCTCTGTTTATGTGGTATTTCTGGGAATCCTGAGCTTTTTCTACCGGGAGAAATAAACTACATCCTGATACTCTGGTGTGCCAGTGTCCTTACCTGTCAGTAAATCTTAATTAACCTCCTGCATGGGCTTTGGAAACTTTTTTTCAAGAAATACACTCATTTCATTTACATTATCAAATGTATTGGCATAAAGTGGTTCACGATGTTTTCTTAGAGAGAGAGAGAGTGTGTGTGGAGGAGGGGCAGACGGGGGAGAGAGAACATACCAAGCCGAGTTGGGGCTTGATCTGAGGTGGGGCTGATCTCACGAATAAGGAGATCATGACCTGAGGGGAAATCCAGAGTAGCTTAACCCACTGAGCCTCCCAGGTGCCCCTCTTAATGTCTGTAGTGATACCACCTTTTCATTCCTGTCTGTTCCCTTGCTCACTGTGGCTGGAGGATCGATCGTATTGATCTAAAAAACCTAGCTTTTGGTTTTATTGACTTTTCCCCTCTTTGATTAGGTTCTGTGTAGGGCAAACTGCTAATCTGGAGGCAAGACCTTTCTGTCTACCTGATCCCTTCCCACAGGAAACAGGTTTTCGGTCTGCACGGACACTGTTCTTCCGATAGTTCTTTCTCTGTCCTCGAGTAACTTCCTCACGGGTGTGCGCTGATCAGTACTCAGCGGAACCCTTGAGGGGGTTCCTCTGCAGATGTGCAGGATTCTGATAGCCCTGTCCACTTCAGTACTGTTTCCGGTCAACTCCAGCAGTCTTGGTCTCCCCAGACTCCCCGTTAACGTCTCTTCAACTCAGGAGTCTGCTGATCTCCAACCCTGTCCCCCTTCCCTGCCTTACAGCGTGGAAACCCCTCGAGGCAGTAAGCCGGGCAGTCATGGGGCTCCCTTCATTGATTTGCTGTCTGTCAGGGATTGCCTTCACTGCCTCGTGTCCAGGGCCACCCATGAAACAGTTTCCTGTATTTTCCCCTTTTGTGGTTTCAGGCAAGAGTGTAAATCTAGTCTGTTACTCCGTCTTGGCCGGAAGTGTCCAGTGAATTTTTCCCTTTTTCATCTCTAGAATCCATTTGGTTTCCTAAACAAACAAAACTTTTTTTTTTTTAATTTTTGAGAGAGAAACAGTGTACACACAGGGGAGGTGCGGAGAGAGAGGGAGACAGAATCCAAAGCAGGCCCTAGGCTCCGAGCTAACAGCAGAGCCCTAAGTGGGGCTCTGACTCACTGACCAGGGGATCATGATCCGAGCTGAAGTCAGATGCTCAACCCACTGAGCCACCCAGGTGCCCCCTCTTGGCTTCTTCTTAAGTGTTTCTTTTTTTTTTTGTTTACTTTTTATTTTTTTGCTGTTATTTCCTTTTCTGCTCCTTATGTGTATATTTTCCCCATAATTCTTGAACATTTTTTATGGTAGGAGCTTTAAAATTTGCATGGTGATTTGACAGTCTGGGTCATCTTAGCATTGGTTTTTACAGACTGGTTTTTTGTCTAGAGTAGGAGTCCCATTTCCCTGTCTTTTGATTGCACATAGAATGTTATGTTATGGGTAAGGTTCTTGATTTTCTCTGAGGAGTGATTTTGTCTTGCCAGCAAAGACTTTTGAATACTTAGACTCAGATTCAAAACACTTAGCTAGGCGAGACCTCTGCAGTTGGCAACCACTGAATTTCCCACTCTGTTCTTTCAGCTCTCCCCTGCTTTTTCAGGGCAAGACTTTACAATTTTTGCCAGTATGATAGGGAAATCTTGATTTCTAACTTCTTTTTAGGTTGCATATTTTCATATATCTGGGATATATTTTGTGTCTTAAGGGGTGTCCTACTCCAGTTTTACACATTGTCCTGTATTTTCTTTTGAATAATTTTTGTAGTTCCTTCTGTGAGTGTATGTGTGTTTATCTCGTTTTTCCAAATGCATAGCTCTTTGATTCATATGGAATTTATTTTTTTGTGATGGGTTTGAAATCGAAATTTAGTGACCTTTTGTGGGGATACTCTTAGGATTAAGGAATCATTACTATCTTAAAAAAACACACACGGGCGCCTGGGTGGCTCAGTCGGTTGGGCGGCCGACCGACTTCGGCTCAGGTCATGATCTCACGGTCCATGAGTTCGATCCCCGCGTCAGGCTCTGTGCTGACAGCTCAGAGCCTGGAGCCTGTTTCAGATTCTGTGTCTCCCTCTCTCTGACCCTCCCCCGTTCATGCTCTGTCTCTCTGTCTCAAAAATAAATAAACGTTAAAAAAAAAAATTAAAAAAAAAACACACACACATGGACCTTCTTACACATGGGTTTGAGTTAATGTATCTAAACTTATGGAACTGTGTATTACAACCTATGATATTTCTGGAGTTACTATCTTCCGGAAGCACATAACTCAGAGTAAAGTAACACTTCTTTGTGCTTGTTAACAGTTTTATTTCTTAAATTTCTTGTTACCTGTCTTGAAGGATGACCAAGATTGATTTCTTACAACTTTTGAAAACTATCTCACAGGTCATGTAATGTGGACCTTCATAAAATCCTTGATTGCCAATGCATTTTATCTGGTGTGTATATGCACTTATACATAAATACCAAAATATATTTGTATGTCCCTCTAAAACTAATTTTAAGAAGTCTTAAGAATGGCATACATTTTGACCAAGTTTCTTTTTGAATTGTCTTTGAGAAAGCTTAGAGCTAAATCTGTGACACTGTGTGCTAAGACTGTAGGCCTTTAGATTCTAAATTAGTATTAATATTGTTCCTGGCTCTGTTTTATATTCCTGTTTCTATTTCTTTCTCTCCTAATCTTAACTTGCTATAAATTCCTAAAATTTCCTTAAATCTTTTGCACATAAACTGTAGAACAAATGAAATTAATACCTTCTGAACTTCCCTTGCACATTAAATTTTAAATGTAATTCACAGTTCTTTAATTTTTTCCCTTATTGAAGTCCTACAGCTTTGTGACAGAAAATTAAGGAAAACATAGAAAAACCAAAAAACACAGCAGTTTGGTAGTTTATTCTAATAAAACATTTGTTCACTTGAAGACCCAAAGAGGAGTTAAAAGAAAAAGGGAGTGTTCACTAATGTCCTAGTTAACACAGTACTTAGGAGAGCACTGCAGCAAGGAATCTATTCTGGCTCCTGAAATTATGTGCTTTAAGTAGCTTTAGAATTCCTCATTACTCTGGATGGCTGTGAGAATTTGTTCATTATACTCTTCTAAACTTGCCTTGTAGTAACAGGCTATTTTAGGGAAGTGTCAAAAATCGTTTTGTTAAAACGTCTGTTAGCTCCCGAATATCTGCTTTGGACTGTTAGAACTTGTTTTGTCTGTCCTCTCCCTCTTTTCTCTCAACATTTAGGAAAAGAGCCTTGGTTGCTATCGGCACCCATGATTTGGACACTTTGTCAGGCCCTTTTACTTACACTGCAAAGCGACCTTCAGATATCAAATTCAAGCCTCTAAACAAGACCAAGGAGTATACAGCCTGTGAATTGATGACCATATACAAGGTATGTGGTTTTTTTTATCTTATGCAATAGCTCTCCATAAATCAAGAAAATTCCTTTAATGTCTGGTCTTGGAATAGGGAGATGTAAGTGACTACTTTTAATTTTTGTTAAAAAAAATATTTTAAATGAGTCCTTTTAAAAAACTGTGTCTTAGCTCCATCCACGAGCTACTGATTCCTTTGATCTAGAGTGTGGCCTGGGCATACTTTTGTTACTTTTTTTAACCTCTTGGTGATTTTAATCTACAGCTAGAATTGAGAACCAATGCAGCGGAATATGCCACATTGTGATATTCCTGTCCAGGTATAATTAAACCTCATGAGAATACGAAGAATAAGATTAAGCTAGTTTTTTGTGAGAAACAATATTACAATGTATCTACCTCCTACTGTTGAGCATTTCAGGTTCCAGCACTTACAATCATTCAGTAGTCACTTTAAATGGCATTTGAAAAATAAAAGTAGTAGGTATCATTCAGAAAAAGCAGCTCTTATCCTTGGCCTGATTGGCCAGTGATTTCCTTCCTGTTGAGGTAGTTTTGTGATGGTTTGTGTTCTGCTTGAGACCATTCAGGCTTGCAAATCTGTTTTCAGTCTTGAAAAATGGCCAGGCTGTGTTCTCATCTCTCTTCTGTTGGAGAGGAGGTATACAAGGCTATTGAGATATTTATATTAGCAAATCAAATCTAGAACTTTCTCTCATTTGGGACCGTTTTATTATTTTTCTGTGCTAGATAGGTGTGTAAACTAATTCATAACTTGGCTTACTTTTTTTCAGACTGACAACCACCTTAAACATTACTTACATATCATTGAAAATAAACCCCTGTTCCCAGTTATCTATGATAGCAACGGTGTCGTCCTTTCAATGCCTCCAATCATCAATGGTGAGTTGTTTCTTGAGCCTCAGGGTTTTTTGTTTGTTTTCTGTTTTTTGGGTTTTTTTCTGTTTTATCTTCAATATTTCTGTAGAATTGAACTTTAGACTTGGCTGAATCAAATCAAATCTTCATCTGGAATCTCAGAATTTTGTAGATTTTATTGTAATGGTTTTTATTTAATAAACGTTTTACTGGTGTTTTTATATAACAAAAAAAATTTTTTTTAACGTTTATTTTTTGATAGCATGAGAAGGGCAGAGAGACAGACAGACAGAGGATCTGAAGCGGGCTATGCACGGACAGCAGTGAGCCCAGTGCTGGGTTCAAACTCATGTACCGTGAGACCATGACCTGAGCAGAAGTCGGATGCTCAATCGACTGAGCCACCCAGGCGCCCCTTAATTTTATTTTTTTTTAGAGATTTTTTTTAGAGATTTTTTTTTTTTATTTTTGAGAGAGAGAGACAGATGGAGCATGAGTGGGGGAGGGGCAGAGAGAGAGAGAGGGAGAGAGAGAGAGAGAGAATCACCAGCAGGCTGTCAGTGTGGAGCCCCACTCAGGGCTGAAACCCAGGAATTGCGAGGTCGTGACATGAGCTGAAGTCAGACATTCAACTGACTGAGCCCCCAGTCTCCCCCAGTATATAACGTTTAAATGTGTAAATATCGGTACATAGGTACTTACTGGTGCCAGTCTCTGGATTCTGTCCTGTTCTTCCAGAGGGTGTTGATATTTTGGTTTTAGCCTGTGATTTGCTTGGTTAAGCTCAAATTCTGTCTAACCTGCTATTTTTTTCTTTTTTTCCCCCCCAATATATGAAATTTATTGTCAAATTGGTTTCCATACAACACTCCAGTGCGCTCATCCCAAAAGCTGCTCCCTCCCTAATACCCATCTCCCACCCCCCCCCTCGGCCTCTCCCTCCCACCCCCCCCATCAACCCTCAGTTTGTTCTCAAGTTTTTTAAGAGTCTCTTATGCTTGGCTCTACTCTAACTCTCTCTTTTTTTTTTTTCCCTTCCCCTCCCCCATGGGTTTCTGTTAAGTTTCTCAGGATCCATATAAGAGTGAAAACAGGGGTGCCTGGGTGGCGAATGGTTAAGCATCCTGACCAGCCAGGTCACTTATCTGGTCCGTGAGTTCAGCCCCCTGCCAGGGGTTTCTGGGCTGGATGGTTCGGAGCCTGAGCCTGCTCGATTCTGTGTCTCCCTCTCTTCCCCTCCCCCGTTCATGCTCTGTCTCTCTCTGTCCCAAAAATAAATAAACGTTAAAAAAATAAAAAATAAAAAATAAAAAAGAGTGAAAACATATGGTATCTGTCTTTCTCTGTATGGCTTATTTCACTTAGCATAACACTCTCCAGTTCCATCCATGTTGCTACAAAGGGCCAAATTTCATTCTTTCTTATTGCCACGTAGTACTCCATTGTGTATATAAACCACAATTTATCCATTCATCAGTAACCTGCTATTTTATAGTTAAAACTTTTAAGCTGAATTTCGGCCCTCTTTTTCTCAGTCCTGAGGGCTTGTTTGATGAGGCAACTTGAATGTATTCATAAAATTTAATGACCTCAGAGCCTTAGATGTTACCCTTTTGGAGAGGAGAAGGTTTAGTTGATTCATGATGAGAAGAGTTTGTTGTCCTTGAGGTCTTAGACTTGAGCTGTTACAGTGGTTCAGAACCTGAGCTTCAGAGTAGCCGGACTGAGACCATACCATAGCCTTGCTGCTTCATGGATTGGGATCAGGGTCAAGGAGCTCAAGCTCTGAGTGTTCGTTCTACCTGCAGCTCCAGCACAGGGTTGTGGTGAAGGTGCGAGGAGACGGCTTCTTCCGGTGCCGGCAGAGCAGCTGGTGGGCTGAATGCACTTAGTAACAGCTGGTTACTGTTTTGATGCACCTGCTTGCAGTGGGGGCTTAAAATAAAAGTTGCATTTTCACCTTACCTCTGAGATATCAGTTTATATCGTGTCCTAATTGAAAATGTCATTCCTGTGTTGGAGAGCTTTTGTAGTGCACCTGTATTTCTGAAACTGATTGTTTTTGTTACCTTGTGTTTGTTGCAGGAAATCATTCCAAAATAACTGTAAATACTCGAAATGTATTTATTGAATGCACAGGAACGGACTTTACTAAGGTAAGTGAAACAGATTCCACTTTTATAGTGTCGGACAGGACAGATTTTATTTCTGGCCAAGACTATATGGCTGAACTACAAAGTGTTGATTTCGTAGATGGGAACATACTTCAGAAATTTAGAAAATTAGAAAACTGTAGATGTTCTGTGCTTGGTAATGGTGTGTTCATTTAATCAACAAACCTTTAATGAGTACTTCTGTCTTTCCAGTGCTGTGAATTTAATGAGGTACAAGTTTCTTGACTTTAAGGAACTCATTCTGGTGGGAGAATTAGCCATATACCTAACTGTAAAATTGAGAAATGGAATAAAGTGTTGTATAACTTGTTTGTTGGCTTAATTTAAATGCGGAGTAATTTGGTGCCTTGTGTACCTGGTAATAAGTTTTTAAAAATGAACTGGCTATAAAGAAGCGTTATTTAGCAAGTTGACAAAGGGCATGTGCATGTGATGATATCTAGAGTATGTAGAATACTAGTTCAGTCACTTTTAGTAAATACGTATATTAGATTGCTATGAAACACCCCCCACCCCCGATTTCTTTACACGGGTTAAGTAAGGTGTAAGGTGAGGTGGCAGGTAAGTAAATTGGGAAAGATAAGCTTGAACGGCAGGAGAAGCCTGGCCTGTAGAAATAGGGCAGATAAATGGCATCTAATACATCTTAACAGGATTGGACACCACTGTAAGGTATTTCATTTATAACTTTTATGGGCCATATTTGCCGTCAGAAATCCTAGAGTGATAATGGCTTACACTATTTACCAATTAAAAAGAATTCATACGTTAACAGACCTTTAGGTGGCTTTCCTAAATCTTACATTTAAACAGTGAAGGGTATGTAAAAGCAAAGCCTATATCCCAATAAGTTTACTGTATTTTTTTCTGAGAATATTTTTCCAGTTAAAAACTTTAAGAAATCTGTATGGCCCTTGCAGTATGCCAGGCATTGCTCTCACATTAAAACATTTAATCTTCATAATAACCAGATGAGACTATAGGAATTTTATTGTCTCCATGTAACAGATGAAGATGGTGACCTACAAAGATGGTAAGGAACTGGCCCAAAGTCCGGTTACTAGTGAGTGGTCGAGCCAGGGTCAGGCACCTGGCTGCAGAGATCTAGGACACTGATGAGGTTTACCCCCAGACTTAGCCATTTGTCTCCCTTGGAACTTGGTGAACCCAAGGGGGAGGGCCGGGGGAAGTGGATGATTTGTTTCAGTCATGGATTGTTAACCCTCAGAGAACTGAATAAATGCAGACCACCTGAAGGTACGGCTAGGCCTACTTTAGCTCACAAGCTCTTATTCCACTCCCTTTTTTAGAATGTTTATATAAAGTCTCATTTTTAGATGTTTGAGGACTAAATTAAATTTTCACTTCCATCTGAGTGAAGAGAGAATATATCTGTAGATTACAATATTTGTCTTTTCCTTTTTTTTTTTTTTTGCAGGCAAAAATAGTTCTCGATGTTATTGTCACCATGTTCAGTGAATATTGTGAGAATCCGTTCATGTAAGTTCATTTGACATCTTTATTGACAGCCTGTTGTTCTGAAGGCAAAGCAGTAAGGCCTTGTGTTAGACGTAAAGATGAAAAACGTGGCTCTGGTGATTAGAATATATCCGCTCTTTGCGGGGGCTAAGATCCGAACATAAATGTATAAAATAAAAAGTGATAAGTACTTTAAAATAAATTTCAGTGACGTTCTGGCTGTAAGGGCAGGTTATTGCCAGCTGAGGCACCTGGGCAGACCTCGTGGAGGCAACGAAATTCAAGCTGTGTTTAAGGATCATTGCATTTGAGGATGTAAACATGGAGGGGCAGCTGAGGAACAGCTAAACAAGTAGGGAAGCACGTATGAGAGCAAAGCATTTATCCTCTATGTATCACTAAGATCTCTGTATTTTTTTCCAGAGCCTATTGTTGGCTTAGACAACATTTAAACGGCCCTTGCTGCGTATCAGCATCATTGTTCATTCAAGTGTTCATTATAATTCAGAATAGCTGCATCACTGCAGAGCCCACGCCTGAAATCGCGCGGCGGTGCCAGTTTTGTTGCTTGATGCGCCCCTGAGCGGTTGCGTAGCCAGCTTTCGTGGTGTAACACAGCACCCTGGTGAAGGCTGGAATGTGTGCGTCCGTGTTGGCGGGGAGCCCACAGGGGAAGCGTGCTTTGCAGCCCCGAGAAGAGAACGTCAGGCGTGCGCTGCCCCAGGAGAGATGGGAGCCACGGGGAGTGCAACAGCAGGGGGGCGGCGAATGCAGGGGGATTAATCCAGGCGGCAGTGTTGGAACGTGAATGGATTGAATGTGTTGAGGCTACTGTTACAGGCCAAGTGAGAGACTTGTGAGCCATACGTTCATTTCTAGAACTCACTGCCTTTTTTTTAAGTGTTTTATTTCTGGCTTTCTCTTTTTTTTTTTTTCTAAGGGTTGAAGCCGCTGAGGTAGTTTTTCCTAATGGAAAATCATACATCTTTCCAGTAAGTATTTAAGAAGTGGACTTGATAACACAGGTGGTAACAATAATGGTGCTGGAGTGCTCCTTGTATGTCCGTCCGTCCGTCCACCCACATGGCAGGCACTATACTATGTGCATTACATGGACATAATCACATTGCCCCTGTGAAGGTGGGTGCTGTTATTAATTCCCTCTCCCAGATGGAGTTAGAGACCTTCAGATGTTAAATAGCTTGCCTCTTGCTGTTAAGTGGGAGAGCTGTGCTACAGTTGGGCTTCAGCCACCAACTCCATTATATGACCACAGTACTTGGCCAGAATTCCTCTGATTTCTTCTATTAGCTAGTTAACTGGGTAATTTATAGTCTGACCCCTTTTAAGATCACTCAGCCCTCCAAACCTAATTAATCTGTTCACGTTTGAGTTAACAGTTGCTAAAGGCCATCACTGTAACTAAAAATTCCGAATGTATTAGCAGGACTAAGGAATAAGCACGATTATTGTCCAGACGTAGGATCTTAGTAAAAGAAAAATCTAAACCAACATTATTCTTAACTGACTGGGTTTTTTTCTTCCCCTAAGATGGTTTTATAAATAAAGATGACCATTCCAACACATGACTGTATTAGTCATTTAGTTGTGGTTATGATTCAGTGAGGCCATTCTTTAAGCTCTTTTTCTTTGGAATTTTCACTATTCCTCCGTCACTTAAGAAGTGGATCACAGCCTGGAATAGTTTCTACTATTTAAATAGCTTTTAAAGTAGATGAAACCTGCTGAGGTCAGAATACCCCATCCTGAAAACATGAGTAATTTAGCATCCTATTTTATTCTAGAATATTGATGATAATTCAAAATAAATGTATAACTATAGAAAACGTTGAAATTATGGGCAGTATCAGTTAAAAGTTTTTAGTGGCTGTTACCTTTTGTTATATAATTAACTGATATCTTAAGACTTAGTGACTTAAAACAACAAAGATTTGTTCATGACCATGAACAATAGAATCATGATTCTGTTGGTCAGCTGGGTAGTTCTGGTCTGAGCTGGCTTGGCTAACCTCTGCCAGCCTTGTTCCGGGTCATCAGCTGGTTGGTAGGCTAGCAGCTAGATGACCTTTGATGGCCTCGATCAAGTCTGCTTAGCCTTGGAGTACCCAGGACAAGTGTCTGTCACATCCAGCAAGGTAGTTTGGTCTTTATTACATGGTGGCAGTTGCAGGGTTCCCAGCAGCGAGAGAGAGCAAGTCCAGTGCTTCAGTATTTTTAAGCATGGTGTCCTGTTGGCCTAAGCCAGTCATTTTGCTAGATTGAAGGAGTGTGAAATAGACTCTCATTTCTCAGTGTGGGGGCCTCAAGTGTTATATTGTGAGTCCATGGATGCAGCAGAGTTGGGAAGAATTGGCCGTTTATGTGATTTACCACAGTAGTACTTGGGATTAGCCAGAGATAGCTTTTTAGTTTGTTTTACAGTGATGTCTCGAGTTGAGAAAGTTTTTTTCTCTTTAATGTGAAGAACTGTCAAGTATTTTTTGTTTAACTTTTTTTTTTTAATGTTTATTTTTGAGAGACAGAGACAGAGTATGAGCAGGGGAGGGGCAGAGAGAGAGGGAGACACAGAATCCGAAGCAGGCTCCGGGCTCTGAGCTGTCAGCACAGAGCCCGACGCAGGGCTCGAACTCCTGGACTGTGAGATCGTGACCTGAGCTGAAGTCGGCCACCCAACCGACTGAGCCACCCAGACGCCCCAAGAATCATCAAGTGTTAACAAAAGTGAAATATGTACTTTGAGGAAGAAAAAGATACGTTAAAATTTGGTTGACTTTTCTCATGTAGCTAATTCCTTGAATTTGTTTGCATTATAAAGAGGTTTCATAAATTTGAAATGATGGGATTTCTGAACGGGAGTACTGTATCAGTGTTGTCATTTGTTAATTTATTTCCTTATAAATGTGGATTAAAACAGCTCTTCTCAGATTGTCCTCCCAGAAGAGAATGACCTTCTGAGGAACTGATTGTTCCTCATGTGAAATAGCATGTTTTTTAAAACACTTTGGAAGTTCTTCCTAGTCTTCTGCTATTTCATATAAAAGAATAAGAGGACCTGAAAAGATAAAGTGGAAGGCAGTGAGAGAGGCTGGTGGTTGATGGTGGGAGCCTTGGAATTAGGCTGCCTGAACATGTCAGTTCACGTGTTTGTTCATTTGCTACTTGGACACACTTACTCATTAATTGTATACCAAGTGCTTATTCTCTTGTGAGCATGTTTGTAAGCACTGGGAATATAGCGTCACAACCTCAGCAGCTTACCATTGTTGTGATCAGGGAATAGTTACTCATCTAAAATTTACTATTCTCATTTCACAAATAAGAAATCTAATAGTATCTGTTGTGAGGGTTAAGGTTAGTATCTTCAAAGTGTCTTGTACTGTTTAGTTCATATTAACGACTCAGTGAAGGTTGTTTCTGTGGCAGTCATTAGCATCTGGTGTTGTACTTTTTTTTTTTTTTTAACGTTTATTTATTTTTTTGGGACAGAGAGAGACAGAGCATGAACGGGGGAGGGGCAGAGAGAGAGGGAGACAGAATCAGAAACAGGCTCCAGGCTCTGAGCCATCAGCCCAGAGCCCGACGCGGGGCTCGAACTCACGGACCGCGAGATCGTGACCTGGCTGAAGTCGGCCGCTTAACCGACTGCGCCACCCAGGCGCCCCTGGTGTTGTACTTTTTAAACCCTAACGTGCAGTCACATCAGCTCAGGATCTTGATATCAGATCTGGATTCAGTAGTTCCATTGTCACTGCTCCCAGCAACAAGGCCAAAGAGTCTGCATTTCTAAGAGGCACTTGGGTGATGATGATGTTTCTGCCTGAGAACTGCATTTTGAATGGCAGGGCTCTGGCCCATTGTCCTTACTTGAATCCAAACATTTTTAGATACAGCCTTTTTTGCTAGTGGTAGTTACACTTTTGAGAGTAATTTAGTGATAAGAAGTATTCATAGATATGTGTGCAAAGGTGCCGAAAAGCCTGAGTTTTATACATATTTGTTCCTACCTAACATGGCACAGTTATGTGCTGTTTGAAGGAGAGTGAGTACCGATTTATGAGATGCTTCCAGCCCTACCTTCAAGAGCAGGTTGATGATCGCTAGGACTGCCTGGGGGCGCCTGGTCGCATTCCCCACCAGAATAAATGATAAGAAAGGAGTTTCTTTGTAACACCTAGATTTAGCTTAATGGTGATATTTGATAGTACACGGTGGTATTTGAACTCTTTCTTGGTCGTATACACCAGCTTGCATGAGAGGAGATTCAAAATCTTTAGGATTTATAAGCATCTTAGAAATGATGTACCAGGGTTTTATTGTAGAGAGTGGTGATTGATCATCTAAGAGAAAAGTGTTTGACATTTTATATTTCTGAGAAGTTCCTGTTGTCTAGCAAGTAGAATGTTCAGTTATGAACGTAATGTAGCAGATTTATTCCTCCGTAATGTTTTCGAAACATTATGTTTATCTTCAGTGTCTCGCTCTAGCAACGTTTTTTTGGGAGGGCAAACTGCCACAGTAAGGTGACGTAAAATTAGAGTCTAACACTGTAGCTGACAGGGAATGACTGAAGCTTCTCAAACTTTTTCTCTTTGAAGGAACTGGCTTACCGAAAAGAGATAGTGAGAGCTGATCTAATTAACAAAAAAGTTGGAATCAGGTACGCTTTGAAAACATTTATTTACTGTTGGAGAGAATTCAAGAATGAAGTACCCACAGGACTTTAATTTTTCTTGGAAGAATGCTTAGGGTTTTCATATCTTTTCAGAGTAAGTGATAATAAATCCTCTGTTGTGATATCTAGTGTCTAACGGAACTCCGAAAGAAAGGTGATACTTAGAGTATTTTAAAACAAAATATAAGCATTTTTAAAAAAAATTTTTTAATGTTTATTTATATTTGAGAGAGACAGAGACAGAGTGTGAGCAGGGGAGGGGCAGAGAGAGAGGGAGACACAGAAACAGAAGCAGGCTCCAGGCTCCGAGCTGTCCGCACAGAGCCCGACCCGACGCGGGGCTCGAACTCAAACCATGAGATCATGACTGAGCCCACTGAGCCACCCAGGCGCCCCAAAATATAAGCATGTTTTAAGTAATCCAGGAAGTTTATGGATTGTACATTCCTGTTTCAGAGAAACTCCAGAAAATATTGCCAAGCTTCTAACCAGGATGCATTTAAAGTCCGAAGTAATAGGCGACGGGAATCAGATTGAGATTGAGATCCCTCCAACCAGAGCTGACGTTATCCATGCATGTGATATTGTGGAAGACGCAGCTATTGCTTACGGATATAACAACATTCAGATGGCTCTCCCGAAAACATACACCATAGCTAATCAAGTAAGATTGCACCCTTAAATAAATATTCCTTATTGTTAGAGACTGATTATTGAATGGCAGGAAGGTTTTGGGAAAAACAGAACATAGGAATTAAGTAGCATTTGGACATGCTATGCCATGAGAGGCATTTGCTATGGAGAGGATACAAAACAGATGCCCAGTGGATTAGAGTAAGTTGAAAACTTGTGATGGCTAGTACTTGAAGAAAGACAGGTTTCGAGTTTGGAGCCCTTTTGAATCTTTAACTGGGATATTCATTTCCTCATCCTGGCCTGAAGGCAGAAGTTTGGTGTGGGAGAGGTCAAGTGGGGGTTTGTACATCTGTGTAGGAATAGTGGGGCGGTGGGGAGGGCTAAAACGGGGGTGCTAGCGGTATTAGGATGGAAGGGGGTTTTCCTTTTAATGACATGTTTTGTTTAAACCTTTTGTCAGTAGGAAATTTTATTGAGGTGAAATAAAGTGAAATATCTTTTTTTCAGTTTCCTCTTAATAAGCTCACAGAGCTCCTACGGTATGACATGGCGGCCGCCGGATTCACCGAAGCGCTTACCTTTGCTCTGGTATGTCCTGTGTGCTTTTCTGTGCAGCTGATTGTTGGCACTGAATCCCTGAATTACTGTATTCTCTGATTCCTGACGCGAACTTACAAAAGCCGGACTGCTAACATTTCCAGGTTCTAGAAAAATGTTTTCACTTGAGAACGTACAATTTCTAGTGAAGAAATGTTTTCTTTTTAGTCACTGAAAATCATGAAGGACAAAACAGTCTGAAATGACAGATAACTGTGTATTTTTTATTAGCATGGAAATGTTAAGGGTTGAATTCGCAATGAATTTCATAACCAGACTGATGAAGTTAGAATATTTAGTCTTAATTTGGTTGTGTCTGTGCCCACTAGATGCCGCCCTGGTTAAGGGTTTGTGGACTGTTACACATTAAACTGGTCTTTGAACATGTTCACAACATTTGCTTTGAGTTGAAAAGCTGACATAAAAGACTTGAATCAGGAAATGAATTTTATTACAAAATAGAAGGAAATCCCCTTCCCCCTGCAGATTGACCATTTGAAAAGAATAAAATATGTATGCCGTTTATAGTTCCTTCTTCTCTTGCTGAGCATTTATGTGGTGCCTACAGTGTGGTTCTTGAGTATTCAAGCAAGCTTCTGCTTAATGACGTAGGGCAAAACCCAAACCAAAGGAAAACAAAACTAACTCGTTTTCTCCCCTCAGCTCGACTCCAGACATAGACTTCTCAGTGTTGTATTTACAGAAGGCAGGAGTGGGGGCTACGCTACTACGTATGTGGGGAGAGGGAGATGCAACCTCTCCGGGTCCTTTTAGTGAGCATTTGTATTTGTAGGATGCTAACATGGGAAGGGATCTCACGGATCTTCTCGGTCAGCATTTTCATTTTGCTGATTCACTAGTCCTTTATTTAGATTTTAAATTTGTTTTTTTAATTGTTTTTAATGTTTTATTTCTTTCTGAGAGAGAAACAGAGCACGAGCCAGGGAGGGGCCAGAGAGAGGGAGACACAGAATCCAAAGCAGGTTTCGGGTTCTGAGCTGTCAACGCAGGACCTGACATGGGGCTTGAATTCATGAACCTTGAGATCATGAGCTGAGCTGAAGTCAGACGCTTAACTGACCAAACCACCCAGGTGCCCCAAGAAATGTATTGCATTTTATTTTATTTAAAAATTATTTTTTAACATTTATTTATTTTTGAGAGCAAGACACAACGCAAGTTCGAACCCACGAACTGTGAGATCATGACCTGAGCTGAAGTCGGACACTTAACACCCAGGTGGGTGGCTCATTCAGTTAAGCATTCGAGTTTGGCTCAGGTCATGATCTCATGGTTCTTGGGTTAGAGTCCTACGTTGGGCTCTGTGCTGACAGCTCGGAGCCTGGAGCCTGCTTTGGATTCTGCGTCCCTCCCCACTCTCTGCCCCTCCCCTGCTCATGCTCTTTCTCAAAAATAAATAAATGTTAAAAAAAAATTTTTAAATGAAGTGACATAGGATTGATTTGAAAGGATTCAAAACCTGTACAGAACCATGTAGAGTAAACCATGACTGTTCCCTTCTGTTGGCCCTCTGGATTCTAACCCTGTTTTCCTCCCCAGAACTAACTGCTGTTTAGACTTCGGCATGTGTGTTTCCCTGCGTTTTTGCAGAAGTAGTGTTTAAAAAGAAAAAATTTAAACTGCTTCTAATCTCAGTCCGTTATCCTCCATTGTTGTGATAAAGTACAAGGTCACTCACATACCTACCTATGTTGCTGTGCAGAACGATTTTTTTTTTTTTTAATACAGACGAGTTCTTTTTGAGAATAGATTGCATTATTTAAATTGCATTTCCTAATTCATCACATTATATCTTGTTATAAAACCACCTCCGTGTTGTAGAGAAAATTTGATTATTCCCAGTATGCCTGCCATGATTCTCTACCTCTGCAGCCATGGCAGATCAGGGAGCTTTTTTCTGCTCTGCCTGCATGTGGCTTCAGTATCCCTCCCAAGAGAGGTGGCAAGAATCATTAGAACTGGCATTGACATAAAATCTGAGCCCATCCGTGTTTTTTTCCCCCCAAGAGAAATGCAGACTAACTAGCCCTTTAAGACCATTTGGTAAAATAGTGCAATTAGGCAACATCACCTAATGTTGGAGATGGTTCAGTACCCTGATGGTACATCAGTTTTCATGTTAAGTTTTAAACTCCTTTGCAGCAGTTATCAGTTAGCATTAATATGTGATACTTGTTCTTAGTAATTTATTAAGCATCATTGTTAATATTTCTTTGAGCGCTTAGTTTGTGCCAGGTACTTTATTTGCATTATCTTGTTAACTCATTTGTTAGATGTAATGCATCTAATAGTGAGTTTTATTTTCATACCGTCTGCCTATCATTCTGGTTTTGTGACCAGCCTCTTTTTCTGTTTGGTGGGTGAGTGCTTAAGAGTTTATTCCTCAGAGGGGCGCCTGGGTGGCGCAGTCGGTTAAGCGTCCGACTTCAGCCAGGTCACAATCTCGCGGTCCGTGAGTTCGAGCCCCGCGTCAGGCTCTGGGCTGATGGCTCGGAGCCTGGAGCCTGTTTCCGATTCTGTGTCTCCCTCTCTCTCTGCCCCTCCCCCGTTCATGCTCTGTCTCTCTCTGTCCCAAAATAAACGTTGAAAATCTTTAAAAAAAAAAAAAAAAAAAGAGTTTATTCCTCAGAGCTTTATCAAGCACAGATGCACAGAAGTTAAATGATCAAGTAGAAAGAATGTTGGGCAGAATTCAGGCCACTTGAATTCTGCTCTTACTCCTGTCATTCTACCGTAAGTCAGTATGTATTTAGCAGACATTATAATGGTAATCAAAACAAAGCCATAGGAACACCAAGGAAAGAGAGAGAAGTTGGAGTCACTAGGAATATATCTATGGAAGAGGTAGAACTCTGTTGGGGGATGGTAGTAGGTAGGTTGGGGGAAGGCACTTATGGTAAAATGAAGGAAGGAAGAGTGTAAGATTCAGGGAATGGGTAGCTAGTTGTAAGAGACTAGACTGGTAAGTGAGAGGCTAGCTTAGGAAGGGCCCAAATACAGTTACAGCACCATCAACATGTGGAAAACTTACTTTGCCTCTGTATCATAGATAGAACTCCTTGCAAAAGAACTGTTAATGTGAAATTATATCTGTTGTGTCCCTGAAGTAGTTGATACATGTATTCTTTTTTTTTAACTTCTTTATACAGAGAATCTACATTGCTACAAGACCGTAAGTTGACTTATAGCCTTAAATACTTTGTATATTCAATTTAGTCACTGTTTTTCCTTATTTATTTTGTATGTACTTCTTAGTGCTCCCAAGAAGATATTGCTGATAAACTTGGTTTGGACATCTCTGCAACAAAGGCAGTCCACATAAGTAATCCTAAGACAGCTGAATTCCAGGTGAGAATTCTAAGTAGCTAAGAGTTTGAGTAAATACTGAGAGGTGGTACATAAGTTATTATACTTCAGATAACAAAGTCTTAGAGCTTTTTAAAAGTCTCTTCTTGGATAGAGGATAGTTGGTTCCTGCATACTTTGTTGACAAATTCTTAACACCTTTTTGTAATCTTTTCTTGATTGATTTACAGTGGGTCTTTGCTTGCTCTGTGCTGTGTAGCCCAGTCTTATCTGAACTTTCCACTTCATTCCTTTCAAATCAGTTGACTTTTTAAGTACTATTTGAAGTTTTCATCTTTTCTACCCATTTGTAGTAAATGAGTCAGTAACTATTCACAGTACCTCTGTGAAGTCATTCACTTTGAAATTAGTTGCTACATCAGTTTTTGACTAGGCCGTCTCCATTTTTTTTCGTGGTAATCCTTTAGTTCAATGGCAGTTTCACATAGGGTGTAGGAATATGTCAGTGCAAATGATACTACCTTAGTAAGCGTTAAATGATTTACATTATAGACTCGATATTACCTTGAAGCGCTCTTTTTATAGATTATGATACCTTTGCTTATTAATGACTTTAAATCATCTCCCCTCTTTCATACTGGCTCGCTCTCATTCTGTTTTGCTTACAGGCGCAATTCTTGATGATTTTTCTTTTTTTCTTTTAAATTTTTTTAACGTTTTATTTATTTTTGAGAGAGAGAGAGTGCACGCAGGTGAGGGGCAGAGAGAGAGGGAGAAACAGTCCGAAGCAGGTTCCAGGCTCTGAGCTGTCAGCACAGAGCCCGATGCGGGGCTCGAACTCACGAACTGTGAGATCATGATCTGGGCCGAAGTCGGATACTTAACCGACTGAGCCACCCAGGTGCCCCTCTTGATGATTTTTCTTTAACCCGGGTTTGGAATCAAGGGAAATCTTAGAATTGGGAAGAAATGCTTTCAAATAAATTAATGCTGTTGATAACATGTGAACTCTTAAGATAGTTCTGTGGTTTTTACATCTGTAAAAGAAGGCTCAATTCTAAAAATTTTTAAAGTTCTAAAAATGTTAAAATTTAGATTTTTTTTTAAAGTTAGATTTCATCTATAGGGCTACCCACTAATGCGGTAGATTAGGGCGAGGCTGTTTAAAGAACTAATTGACAATAACATGGACCAAGTACATGAGTTGTTTCTTGGTATTCGGTGTCAGAACTTTGAAGAATTATGCCAATTTGGAAGGATTGTGATCATAAGTTTGCTTTGAGACCCACTAGCTTTTCTACTGCTCTCTCTTATGGTGTTCTTTTTAATAGGAGACACTCAAAATCATTTGGGTAGAGGGATTTTTCAGTAAATCTTAACTGGGTTTTTATTTGCATTTATTCCAGGTTTTCCGTTTTCTCCCAGTTTTGTTTATCAAGTTTGATAGATGTAAGATGAGGTAATGTTCTTTAGGTTTACATTCTGTTTTCTATGTAAGTGGAAGGAAAACAAATCAGAAGCACATTAAATATCACTATAAATAGTAGTGGTTTAGCACACTTTCAGAATCAATAATTCTGCATAAAATACATTAGATGAGAGGCTATCTTTTGGATTCGACAGATTCTGCAGTTTATTCATGGTTTACTAGCAGATATATCCTCCTGCTACTCATGGGGCTGACAGGTTTCTGTTTGCTTATGGTTAAATGTAAAGTTGTTTGTGGACTTGTAACTCCGTTTATTGTCTAAGCCCATTCTTTCTCTTGCATAATTCTTAATTTGGGGGTATTTTCTCACAGAGATGTTAGAGAATGGATGTAAGAAGAAATGCCATTTAGTTAAAACATGTAAATTTTTATTATAATTATAAACAAAATTACAGAACGTTACCACATTCCCCCAAGTCAGCAATAGTATTCTTTAGTATCCTTAAGTAGCCAATCATTGTTCACATTTTTCCAGTTGTCTCAAGTTTTTTAATAGTTTGATTTGGCATTCAAATGTTCGTACAAAGTTGATGTGTTTCTTAAGTCTTTTTAATTTACGGATTGCTCCTCTAGCCATCTCTGTCTTTTCCTCTCTCCCTTTCACTTTATTTGTTGAAGAAACGGGGTCATTTGTCCTGTAGAGTTCCCACAGTTAAGATTTTGTGGAATACGTTCCACTGGTCCCCTATATTTCTAGTATGTCGGTAGGTAGATGTAGAAGTTTGATTGGATTCAGTTTTCACTATTTGTATTGCCGTGAGTTTCTAAACAAGCAAATAAGGCTTATCTGTAAAATGGGGGGGGGGGGACCTAAGAAAAATTATTTACACAGGAAGCTTGTCTGTATTACAGTAAGTTAAGCTTTCTTTTAACACTGCAGTTTTGTTTCTGATTGGTTTGGGCACTTTCTCTCCATTCGCGAACGTGAGTGGTATTTAGAAAAGCACCGAGATTAAGGCTGCTCGCAGCAGTTGGTAGAGTGAGATTGATAGGAAAGCCGTTCTCTTTCCTCAACACACATTCTACTAGCAAGTCTTAGGGGCTTATTACTGTTACACCTGTAGGATCTCAGAGGGGCTGCTGTTTTAGTCAGGGTGGTCAGGACAGACAGGCCTTTGTGGGAGAGGACCTGTTGAGAAGAGACCTAAAGAAAGTAAGACCGCCACATGTGAATCCAGAGGAAGAACGTATGAAGTGGAGGTAGGGAGGAGGCATGGAGGCCTGAGGTGGAAGTCTGCTCACAGAGTGTGGCTGAAGCCCGGTACACCCGGTGGGGGCAGCATGTGTTGAAGTTGGAGAGGATGCCAGGGCCAGATTTAGATACAAGGACCCCATGTAGGGCATGGTTTTATTCACAGTTGGGTGGAAACCTATTAGATTTTTGAGCAGGGGAGGTTCCTGATCTGATTTGAGCTTTAAAGGATCATTGTGGAGAACAGACCATAAGTAGCAGGAGTGGAAGCCAAGAAACCAGCGTGAGCTCACGCAGTAGTCTGGGCAGAGGATGGCAGTGCTCGTGTCTGACTCCAGAGCCCACGTTCTTGATGATGGTTTCCTACTACTGCTCATAAAACTGGTCTGGTAACATGATGCGTCAAAAGCCCACCTGTCTCCTTGAGCTCAGAATGAGAAATTTATTTGAGACAGAAGTAGGGAAGCTGTTTTGTTTTTAAGAACTAGGATGTATGGTTGTATTTCTTTGGCTACGAAGCTGAAAACTATAGTCACAGCTTGCCCATAGCAACTGCATAATTTTTTTTAGTGCTTACGTATTTGTGTTCTTTTTTCTCGTTGTCATGGTATTTTAATTGCATTTACATTTTCCCTGGTCTTGGTTTTTAAGAATTTGATTCTGATTTAACTTATATAAATACTTGAGTTTCTTGTAATCTACTTCAATTTCTTTATAAAATAAAGCAGGTATGAAAAGTTATATATTTGAAGTCTTAACCAATCCTAGATATAAGCATTGTATTTATAATACTTGTTTCTCATTTTGGGATCAAGTTTTGTGACTTTTCATTTTTTAAGTTTGGAAGCCAGAATATTTTAAGTTTTTGTCTTGGAATTGAAAATTAAAAATGATTTGGATATTTAGGCATTGCATTTTCCAGAAGAGTCTTGCTGTGAAGCTGTTGAGTTCTGGCCTGGTCACCAGGTCGGTTTGGTTCTCCTTTGGTCAATGCAATTTCACGTGTTCTCCTGTAGGTGGCACGCACTACCCTTCTTCCTGGCCTCCTAAAGACCATAGCTGCGAATCGGAAGATGCCCCTTCCTCTGAAACTGTTTGAAATCTCTGACATTGTAGTAAAAGATTCTAGCAGAGGTAAGAACAAGTCCACTTTTAGTCCTGCTGAAAGCATTTTATTATGAAAATTTCACCTGCATATTAAAAGGTAAGCAGTATGATGACCCCTGTGAATCCAGCGCCCGGCTCAGCAGTTATCAGTACATGGCCAGTCTTTCATCTGTTTGTGCTCTAGCCTGCTTCCCCGTGTTCTTTTGATGTAGTTCCCAGACATCCTGTCGTGTCATCAGCAAACACTTTAGTATGTATTTCTAGAAGATAATGTATCTCTAAAAGATAACAGAGGCCACTCTTGATTTTTAAAAAATAAGCCACACTCTTTTATCATCGAAGACCCAGCTCGTGTTTAAATTTTCCCATTTGTTTCATAAATTTAGTTTTCATGATTGATATGAATCCATCCAAGGAAGATATTCAAATATTTGGTTGCTCTCTTATTTCTTTAAATGGAAAGCAAATCGTAAAGAACTTAACATTTATGAAGAACCCTATTAAAACCTCAACTTGAGGGGTGCCTGGGTCTCTCAGTCCATTAAGCATCTGACTTCGGCTCATGGGTTCCAGCTCCACGTGAGGCTCTGCTGACAGCTCGGAGCCTGGAGCCTGCTTCTGATTCTGTGTCTCCCTGTCTCTCTGCCCCTCCCCTCCTCATGCTCTGTCTCTTTCTCTCTCAAAAAGAAAGAAACATTAAAAAAAAAAAAGTACTACGAACATTTCCTTATATCCTGTGATTTATGTGCATGTCATTTTAAAGTACTTGATATCTTGCCATTCTAGTTAGCAGTGGCTGTTCGCTGTCACTCTTGTACTAGTTATTATACACGTTTTACCAGGTTTTGTCTCGAGTGTCGTCTGGACTTCTTAGTACAGCCAGTTGCTTGGTCCACCATTTGGAACTCAGAGATTCCTGAAGAAACCTGTATTTAGTTAGTACTTAAACCTGATTGCCAAGGATGTCAGTCTTATTCAAACTTTTGTCTTCAGACTGAGGTCTGTTTGGAGCTGCATAGGAGATCATTTCTTGGGGAGCGGTGCCATCAAATGACTGAACTGCTGGCAGTCTTTCTCTGGTTCCCTGGATTTAACTGTTCAAATCCTGTGTTCTATTCAGGAGCCTCACCCCAGACTGCAGAACTCCGTGTTTTCTTTTGAATCTGTTGACACCAGCAAAGGCCTTTTCCTCAGTTTCTCTTGAAGCGGATCATATGGCTGTTGTTCTGACCGCCCAAAGTAGTTGAGAACCGTTGGCTGTAAGTCAGCTGATCTTAGGAAATGGACACTAGAGAGGCACGTCCATGCTGACGGTATGTGAACCTTTTGTAGCAAACTCTTCCGCCGAAGCTGGATTCCATCCACTTCCCAGTGTGCGGCCTTGTCTTCGGCGAACGGCATCACCTTGCATTTGGATGGTACTTTATACTTTCCAAAATCTTTTTAAACATACTTCTTCTCTTTTGATTGTTAATCCATCTCTTTGAGGCAGATGGGACCAAAAACACTGTCCATGCTTAATATATAGGAAAATTAAGACAGGAAAGTGTTAATTTGCCCAAGGCTGGATAAATTTTGGACTTTGAGCTAAGGCCAGAATTTGGTTTCTGTGCATATATCCTTAGAGAATAAAAGTTTATTTTAATATCAGTCTGTGTAGCATTTTCTTTGGGTGGTGTATCAGTTTTCTTTGGTGGTAGAAATCAAAACCTTTTCCGTGCCGGCTGTAAGTAGTTCTGAGGGTTCTTGTGCCTCAAATCCTCCATCGGTACAGATAACTGAGAATTTGTTATGATTTCACTGTCAGGTTTTTCTGTTAATTTTGACTCCTTTCCTTTCGTCTTAGCTCTTTGAATTGTATGTTTTGATCCTTGGTGATCCAACCTATTTACAGATGTGTATAGGATTAGGTCAGTTATACTAAGTTTCCTCAAAAGTTCTGTAATACTGTTTCAGCGGTAGGCCTCTTCCCTAATGGCAGGGGCTCCCTCAGGGCGCTTCAGGGCTGGGCACACTTGTAAGCAGGCGGCTCGGAGTCTGGAGAGTGAGGAGCAAGCTGAGGTCCCCACGATTGCCGCGAGGACATTTTCGCTGTGAGCACAGAGCGCTTGGCTGTGGTGCAGCCCTTGGTAGGGATGTCTCTGCTGTTTTTTTCTTTCATGTGTTTTTGGGAAGGCCCAGGCACAGACTCCACTCCGCAAGCGAGGACCACGCTTGGAGAGAAGGCCGCCTGTTGAGAGCGAGCGAGCTGTTGTTCAGTGCTAGCGCTGTGGGCTGTCATGTAACACATCACCCTGGCGATAACCCCAGAAACTCAGTCTGTATACTTGTCACCTCCGATTTGCATTTCTGCTACACTTTGTGTCATCAGAAAGAGTAGTTTTCATCTCTGTAGCAGACCTTTTTTTCCGGTTTTTTCTTGTGATTATTCTGCTCTTCTCCCCGTGGAGCCATTTTCATCTGATAAGACATTTGCCTGTTATCTCGCACCATTCTGGTTTATTGTCTTTAACCTTTCCCGCCAGTGGGGTTTGAGGAATGAGAGGAGGGAGGCGTGCTCAGTAAGTTCACCCTCTGGAGTAGGTTTCCTCTTGAGGGAGACCTGGAGTTTTTATCCTAGCAAGTCATTTTTCTGATGGATTATTCTGCGTATGTGCAGGTGGACCCCCTGCTTGTCATTTGGGGGTACGCAGAGGACTCTGTAGCAGCGGCAGCTCAGCTCCATGGATTCAAGACTGTACAGCCAGCGTTTGGGGGTTTGAGTCCTGGTCCTGCCACTTAAGAGCTGCTTAACCTCGGACAATTTATTCAGTCTCCCTGTGCCTGTTTTCTCATCTGTAGCAGTGGGGATGATGGTTGCACTTACTGGATTTTTGTAAGGATTACATGAATTTGCGTTTCGAAAAGTTCTGGCCGTGTAACAGGCACCTTTTGGTGTCTGCTCTTACTGGCGGGGTATTAGCAGTCCCTGAGGCCAGGTACCTAGCGTCCTGGTCTGTGGTGATTGTCCATGAGAATGACTTGTAAGCCTCCAGCCATTAAAGGGTTAATGTCACCTTGCTGCCCCACTTGGGGCTCCGTTTTTTGTCCTAACCTTTGATTTAATTGGGTTTTCCTCTGTTGTATTCTATCTTCTTATTTTAGGGCATGAAAAACCAAAATGTACTGGTGGGGGGGGGGTTATTAAAAACAGGAATGTTGTTTTCTTTTCAGTAATTCATCAGCCACTTCTCCTCAGTGAATTGAGCACATACATTTTTACTGCCTTTCAAGCCAGTAAGCATTTTTTTTCTGTCGGAGTTAGCCGTTTCCTCCTAAATAGTCACACTGTTTTGAAGAAGAAAAATCTAGAGTATCAAAAGTGAAACGATAGAGAAGTTTTCCAGTAATATAAAAACATCCCAGATTTTCATTAGCGGGGGGGGGGGGGGGGGCTGTACCCAAAGTTCAGAAGGTAGGGATGTATGGCAAGAGTAAACAAGACCATCTCATTCATTGCACTGGTAGAAGAGTCTTTTTTTTTTTTTTTTTTATTTATTTTTGAGAGAGAGAGTGTGAGCAGGCGAGGGGCAGAGAGAGAGGGAGACACAGAATCGAAGCAGGCTCCAGGCTCTGAGCTGTCAACGTGGGGCTCGAACCCACGAACTGTGAGATCATGACCTGAGCCAAAGTCGGACACTTAACTGACTGAGCCACCCAGGCGCCCCCGAAGAGTCTTTGAGTTCCTTTTCTTTGCAGGGTCTGTTTGGAATATAAGAGAAAGAGTTGCGAGTCTTGAGGGAGATGAACTGGTTTTTATTTTTTTAATGTTTATTTGTTTTTGAGAGAAAGAGAGCGTGTGAGCAGGGGAGGGGCAGAGAGCGAGGGAGACACAGAATCCGTAGCAGGCTCTAGGCTCCGAGCTGTCAGTACAGAGCCCCATGCTGGGCTTGAACCCACAAACTGCGAGATCATGACCTGAGCTGAAGTCAGACATTTCACTGACTGAGCCACCCAGGTGCCCCCCGTAAATAGGTTTTTATACATAGTGCTCCAAGGGAATGTACAAGGGACCCTGATAGCACAGAGAAGGATTGACAGTCACCACTGACTTGTTTTGTAACATTAAGTAAAACCCCGATTCCCAGCCTCATGTCAGTTTTGTATAGGCAGGTGTATCTTCCTCAGTGGAAATGAAGAAGAAATCTGTGCTGGATTATTATATGCCTCCCACCAATTTTATTTGCCCGCCTGTACTCTCGTGCATATTGTACTCTTACGTTTCTGTAAGAGCAAATGAAAGGCTACCAGCGCCTGTTTTCATTCTTGACCTCATTGGACACTTTCTTCTGCTCGTGTGGACTCACTGACTGACCGTCCGTGTTGTGAGACTATCAGGCTAGCTTCCTGTTGAGCAACTAAGTCAGACACACTTCTCAAATATTAAGACTTCGGTGTGGAGTCCAACATATCCTGGTTCTTTAAGGCTGAGCCAGCCACTGCATTTACTGAGCTGTAGGATCCAAAGTTGCTGCACCATTGTTAAAAATTAGTCATGACTCAAGCAGCTAAGCGGATTTATCCCTTTTGGGCAGAATGGCATGTGTCTTTGGAATGAAGTTAAATGCAGACTCTGGTGTGGGGTGAATTTTCAGCTGTATTACGGAAGTCGGTAGAAGCAACCCTGAAGCTATCAAATCAGGCTGTTGTGAGTTACGGATTTCAGTTGTTCATAGTTCCTTCTATATAAACTAAACTATTAACAAAGTAGTAAATTTATTTATTTTTTTAAATTTTTTATTTTTTTAGAGTGAGAGAGAGAGCAGGCACGGGAGAGGGGCAGTGAGAGAGCAAGAATCTCTAGCAGGCCCCACTCTGAGCACAGAGCCTGACGTGGAGCTCGATCCCACAACCCTGGCATCATGACCTGAGCTGAAATCGAAAGTTGGATGCTCAACCGACAGCCACCCAGCCGCCCCAAGAGTAAATTACTTTAGAGGAGCCCAGGACCTACTTATGAATTAACTTGGGCTAATCTTTATGCCCAG